TAGGGTGAGTAGGGATCGTCCCAAGGGATTGTGGGGATCGAGCAATGTCGTGGAATCGTTATTAGGGCTAGTAGGTCGAGTGATCAAATAATTGGTTGGTTGGTTAATTAAAGAACAACTAAATTAAACTAAGTGATAACAAAAGAATGCAATTAAGAGTAAGTAATAGAGAGAGAGATCTTGGGGTTTAAAGATCACCACCAAGCAATGCATTTCTATACCATTGATAAGTGACTAATGAGGGCAAATGGTGTGTTGCAATATTGGTGTGTGTGTGTGTGTGGTTGATTCAATAAGCAAGGATGACTAGTTAAGCATGTATTGTTTAAACATCATATGAAAGGCACAATATATCTAAGCAATGAAGCATATATTGTCTAAACAACATGTGAAAGGCACAATAGATCAAAACAAGTTATTAATCCTTTCATTAAGCTCACAATCCAAATATAACACAAGGATAGAGACATATGCTACTTACATTCAAAAGCTTGGTTCATCAAACAACAAGCATGGATTGTCCTTCCATTTAACACTACACTACAACTACACTACATCTACACTACTAGCATGAAAATAAATTAGGGGAGAGGCACAATCCATCAAGGAATAAGTATGAACCATCAAGAGAATCACAAGAGCATTCCTTTAAGCACTACGTTTTGACAATTTCTAAATCTATAGCATCAATACACATAGACATGCATCAATATCACAAAATCTAGAGACAAGCACATGAACATCTATTCTAGCATACATAGATATATGAATAGAATGAAATGATCAATTGGAAACATTAAACCATATAAATCATTGAATAAACAAGATCTATATATGTAAAAGTGTCAAAACATTAATTACAACACTAGTCCCTCAATAATACACAAGATTAAGATATAAAAAGCATGCTTGGGGATAACTCTAGCCCCAAGAGGATGTCTAGCCACTCATGGTGATGTTGCTCCAACCCTCAAGAGCTAACTTCATGGAAGAAATCTGCTCTTTGTTGATGAAGAACTCCAATGGTATCTCTAGCCTCCTCCTCCTCTAAGCTTGCTCTCCAATAGATGATATGAAAATGATATTGGCTCTCCTTTGTAAAAAACAATCCTTATCCTTATATAGGTAGGTCAAATGACACCCAAAATGAGCTGGAGTCGTGCACACAATATTCCCTAATGATTGGATAAAGGACAACTTTCAATGAGATGGAAATTTAACTTTTTCGCATTGGAGAAAATTCGATCGATCGAACCTTGGACTTGGATCGATCGAACTGGCTGAGATCCATCGAACTTAGGCTGGATCGATCGAACTGGTTGAGCTTTTTGGGAAAAGACAAATCCGAAATATTTTAGGAGATATTTTTGGGAAAAGGACAAAAGTGGTTAGTGGGTGGTACAGTTGTGGATAGGATCAATCATTTGAATAAGGACAAAAGTGTTCGATCGATCGAAGGGTAGTGTTGGATCGATCGAACTTTTGAACTTTATGCTTTTGGGTCAAGGCTTGGATCTATCTTGAAGTGCTGAGATCGATCATTGTTCGATCGATCGAACCTTGGACTTGAATCGATCGAACTTTGCTGCTTCCCACCTTTGGCTTCATTTGCTTCTTTCTTTCTCCATTTTGCTCATTTCTTTGTTTAATCACAGAATTGCTTCAATTAAGCTCTTATTTGGCTGAGTAAGCTTATTTTCGGAATAAATGCCTAAAAATGGAAATAATATGAAATCAATATAAAACGGTAAAGTAAGATAGATAAAGGTACTAGAATGCCTAAGCTTAAGGGGCTTAAATACGCACTTTTTAGCGCTCATCACCACCCAAGTTGAAGATACATCCAGTCTTCCATGTCAGCATGCTCAAGCCTTATCGTGAAGACACGGAAGACCTTACTCGGGGCATATCGCATAGGGCACCCACGGCTGTTGTCATATCTTTTGACAAGGAAGTTGAATGCATCCTTGCGGATCGTGCGATGAGCAGGAAAGGTGTGCCTAAGTATACAGAGTACTTAGTGAAATGGAAGAACCTGCTAGATAGCGAGGTGAGCTGGGAACATGAAGATACACATTGGCAGTTCGCGGAGCATATCCAGCGGTTCAAGCAAGAAGACGCGACGAGGGCGTCGCGAGCTTAGGTGGGGGAGAATGTCACGCCCCGCAACTAAGAGGCTACGCCACGCAGACACCCAGCAGACGATGACATGGAGCCTGCATAGACCGGAGCTTTATAGACTTCTGTACATAAGTATGGAACTTTCCGGAATTCTCTAGATTAGTGTGGAGTTGTCTAGTCTTTTCTAGACTTGTATAGAGTTGTATAGAATTCTCTAGAATTCTCTAGACTTGTCTTGAACATTGTATATAGTTCTAGAATTGTGTAGATATTTCCTTGGAGGATTTTAGACACTCAATCTAGGTCACACATTTGTATACATTTAGAATGTTCTTGTAAGGGCCAAAGGCTATAAATAGGAGGTGAGAGTTCATTTGCTCCTCACCAAGCAACCAAGTTGTAATCTCTCCTCTCAAGTAATACAAATTCTATACATTCCCAAACTCTCTTACTCACTTGCCTAACCTCTTCCTACACACCCAAGTAAGCAAAACACTTATCTAACCTTAGTCTTCACTAAGCTAACACACTCGGGTAGGCTGACTTAGCGCTTCAAGGGGGCTTAAAAGTGTCTAAGGCCGTACGAGAGCTTTGAAAGGTTCAAGTCTGTGACATTAGGGACTAAATATGCGGTTTGTTTTATTTCTTTTGCTTTTCTCAAAAAAGTCTCTGTGTAAGTTTAAAGCTCCGGTCAGTGCAAATACTCCACTAGAGACTTAAAATGACTGTAATGCCCTCATACCAGTAGAATAAATTAATAGATAAAAATGTATGTCATGTAACGATAGATTAGTCCAATTGTCATCAAATATATATATACATATATATATATATAGCTTTATGTTCATACAAATCCTAAAACTAGAATAATACTTTATTTAAAAAATAATAATTAAAACAAAAACAAAAGCACAATGTTGATACATGGAGATGGTGTTCATTTATTTATTTCTTATTATTTTTGTAACAAAGAATCAAATCATACATTAATTGCTTTGAATTTTTGAATGATTTGTAAACTCCGAATACTGTATGTGTAATTACTCACAAATCATACATATTATTTAAGCTTAGTTATTTTTAGGCCTTGTGAGAATCAAAACTAGAAATTTTTTTTTTTTTTTCTTTCTCCATTACAACGTGTACTATTTTAAGAGGCTTTAATTTTATTTATTTTTTATAATTAATAACAAATATAATTACCCGTGTAAATCATAGTTAAGTGGGACGTTAAATTTTTTTTTTTTATTTAGGATAAAAAAATGATTCTGAGGCCACAGAACAAGCTACTTAACTCACAAAAAGTATAAAAAATTTAATTACTATCATACAACATCAAACTAGACTTATATTTTTCGATTAGAATTTAATAATTTAGACAGACCCGAGATGAAAGTCAGTTGAGTCCCCAGTAACACAGCAATAATTAAACAAGTGTTATTCGAGTCACAACTGAGTCATTATGCTCATTTGGATCTCAAAGTGAGAGAATCCAGGGAAGGAAAGTGCGTGACAGCTAATGGAACAGACCATCTTTTGCTTAATTAATGTTTTCCACCGACAATCAATGCAAAAACCAACATTAATTACTTGTATATTTGGACCTAATTGTATAGATCCCAATTAGGTGGTCTATTGAGTATGATTTCTTTTGTTGCCTTCGAGTACATGGCTGGCTTGAACAGTTGAACGGTCCAACTGGGTGACTTACTGAATTATTATTTTTTCTTTCTTGTCCTTGGTGAATTTGAATATTGAATCACCACGGAAATTAAGGGGCTTGGTCACTAATATAATATGAAATCCAAATCAATTATTCTCTTAGCTAGGTCACTCATGATATAGCTTGGTCCTCTCTATAGGTGACAACTTAATCTATTTCAAAACAGATTTATAATTGTTATATTATTTTCGTTCTTATTTTGGTGGGTAAAATATCGACTCTGTTGCATATACTCCGTTCAATTGTGGAGTACAATAAGGGTAGGTCCGGTTATGCCACTTTTATTATGTAGTAAAAAAATAATAATAAATAAAATAAAATCAGCCGAATGTATTCAAATTGGGCTGGTAATTAAGTTGACTTAACTTTTAAATTACTAAATAAGAAATATTAATATATTAACGGACCAGCAAAGTAATAAGAGTCTTAAAAATATTAAATATATTATATATATATATATATATATATATATATATAAGGTACGTATATAATCGGGGTGGAGCCGAGACTGGTTTATCACTAAATCCACCTCCGTTTCAAACTCGTTTCGAATTTTCAATTAATTCATCATATTCGTTCCAAACCCATTTAGAGGAACACCAAATCCATACATAAGAGACAAGCATGGGGCAAAAATCCGTCAAAAGAAATTGCCATCCTTAAAGTTTATGGTGTTAAATTCCATAAAAAAAGGTTAAATTCACCACTTATAATATTAAAATTCTTTTAAAATTTTAAAATAAATAAGATGAAATTTCACCAAGAACCTAGAAAAAAGACTTCCTTGTAGTAATTGCTTATATAAGAAAGAACTAAATTTTCGCAATACAGTGGTCCCTCCAGCCGATTAGTCATGTTTTGAAAAAGCTATTATCATCTTATTAGACAATATTATCACTGTTTACATTCCAAAAAAAATATTATCACTGTTTTCTTCCAATTAGGGCCCCACTGCACATGCGAATGAGGTCCACATTTCTGATCAATTTCCTCCAATTAGGGCCCCACTGCACATGCGAATGAGTTAGCCATATAATATCCATCCAATTAGACAATATTATCACTGCTTTCTTCCGGCATATACCATCTTGGTTCATTGAGATCCATCTTTTGCATTTTGAAACCATAATCAACTCTTTTTGCTCAGTAACTAACAATGGCAGAGACACTTGTTGATATTGTGCTGGAGCGTTTGGTCTCTTTCGTAGCGGGGGAGATTGGATTGATATGCGGTGTTGGTGAGGAGATGAACAAGCTTTCCAGCAAGCTCACTACTATCAAGACAGTTCTTGAAGATGCTGAGCAGAAGCAACTGCAAGACAAGGCGATTAAGATTTGGTTGCGGAAGCTCAAACAAGCAGTTTATGAAATAGATGACGTCTTGGATGAGAGCACAACCAAAGCCGCGCAATTGGAATTTAAACGCCATAATTCTGGATCTCTTAATAAGGTATGTGCTTGCTTCTTATCTTGTTATTCTATTCCAGACAATTTTCTATTTCGTCATAGGATTGGAAATAAAATGAAAGAGATTAACGAGAACTTGGATGCAATTGCTAATGAGCGGATGCAATTTCATTTGCAAGAGGTGGTTGTGGTGAATAGAGTTGAAATTCCTGAATGGCGTGAGACCACCTCTTTTCTAAATGAAGGAGATGTAGTGTACGGAAGGGAAAAGGACAAAGAAAGTATCATCGAACAGTTGGTGATGCGTGCAAGTGAGTGTCAGGGTGTTTCCGTCTTTCCTATACATGGTATTGGAGGGCTCGGAAAGACTACGCTTGCTCAGCTAGTGTTCAATGATGAGAGGGTAATTAAACATTTTGAGCCGAGGATTTGGGTTTGTGTTTCAGAAGATTTTGAAGTGAAGAGGGTCTTAAAACTGATTATAGAATCAGTATGTAGGAAATCTTGTGATATTTCAAGCCTGAATCTTCTCCAAAGGCAGCTTCAAGATAAGTTGAATGGAAAAAGATATTTACTAGTTTTAGATGATGTGTGGAACGATGATGAACAAAAGTGGGACACCTTAAAATCTATACTTGCATATGGATCTTCAATTATTACCACTACCCGTCTCGAAAAAGTGGCATCAATTATGGGAACACTCCCTACACATCGGTTGTCGAATTTATTAAAAGATGATTGTTGGTTATTGTTTAAGCAAGGAGCATTTCAAGGCAAGGATGAAACTCCAATTCTTGTGATGATTGGGGAGGAGATCGTGAAGAAGTGTAGGGGAGTGCCTTTAGCTGCAAAGGCTTTAGGAAGATTAATGCATTTCAAAATTAAAGAAAGTGAGTGGCTACGTGTTAAAGAAAGTGAAATTTGGAATTTACCACAAGATGATGAGAGCTATATAATCCTGCATTAAGATTGAGTTACCATAACCTTCCATTGAAGTACAGGCAGTGTTTTGCTTACTATGCCATATTTGAAAAACATTCTAGAATTGACAAGGATCGTGTAATTCATTTATGGATGGCCAATGGTTTCATTTCGTCTAATGGGATAATGGAATTGGAAGATATTGCAAACCAGATATGGAATGAATTGTATTGGAGATCTTTCTTCCAAGAGGTAAAGAATGATGATTTTGGCAACGTTAAAAGTTTCAAGATGCATGATCTTGTTCATGATCTTGCTCAATCTATTATGGAAGATGAATGTCATGTGATGGAGGTTGAAAGGCCAAATAAAAAACCAAATAAGATTGTTCGTCATGTCACATCCGTTTATGGCTCTAAAGCATTAGAAAATGTTGAATCGTTAAGAACATTATTTGTGAAAATATTTTTTCATGACTTTATGAAATTTAGTACCTTACGCGTTTTGAATGCAAGTAAAGCTTCCATAGCTGAATTCCATCCTCAATTGGCAATTTAATTCATTTAAGGTACTTGAATCTTTCTGACAATTATAGATTGAAGATACTTCCCGAGTCATTATGCAACTTATTGAATTTGCAGACCTTAAACCTTAACGAGTGTGTGGATCTTGAAAGGTTACCCAACCACATGGGAAGCATGATCAATCTCCGACATCTATTTATGGAAGGCTGTGGTGATCTAACAGAAATAGCACCAAAAATTGGGCAGTTAACCAACCTCAAGTCATTAAGTATTTTCATTTTGGATGGGAGGAGAGAGATTCATTTGGGTGAGCTGCATGGGCTAAACCTAGGAGGAAAATTATATATTAAGCATCTGGAGAGGGTGGAGAATTGGGTGGATGCAAGAGAAGCAGCAAACTTAGCCCAGAAAAAAAACCTCTACAGCTTGCGTTTGGGTTGGAATATTGGAAGTGAATCAGAAAATGGTGAACGGGTACTAGATGCTCTTAAACCTCACCCAAATCTTAAAGAGTTGATCATACAACATTATCCAGGTACCTCTTTCCCACGCTGGATGAGTGATCTAGTACTGCTTCAAAATTTAGTTAGAGTTTCACTTGATGGTTGCAAAAATTGTCAAAGTGTTCCACCATATAGTCAATTGCGTTGGTTGAAACATCTTGAGATTTCTCGCATGCTATGTTTGGAAAGGTTGTCAAGAGAGGAAGAAAAAGACGTATTCCCTTGTCTTTCCCAATTGATTATTTATGATTGCCCTAAGTTGACATTTATGCCATGCCTTCCGTCACTCAAAGATTTACAAGTACATGGAGGCAGTGATGTCTTATTGAGTTCGATCTCAAACCTCAGTGCTCTTGAGATTTCTCGCATGCCATGTTTGGAAAGGTTGTCAAGAGAGGAAGAAAAAGATGTACTCCCTTGTCTTTCCCGATTGAGTATTTATGATTGCCCTAAGTTGACATTAATGTCATGCCTTCCATCACTCAAAGATTTAGTTGTTGTTAGATGCAGTGATGTCTCATTGAGTTCGATCTCAAACCTCAGTGCTCTTGAGTCACTAAATATCTGGAGTTGTGATGAGATTGAGTCATTACCGGAACAAGGATTTCAAGGCCTCAACTCTCTCCGTTCTTTAGAACTTAATTACTGTAGAAAGTTGAAGTCCTTGTCTGAGGGACTGCAACACCTCAAAGCCCTTGAGAATTTGACTCTTCATGGATTCCGGGAGCTCGTTTCTCTGCCGGAGGGTATTAAACACCTCCATTCTCCCTTGGATACTTTGAGAATATCCTCGGCTCGTCTGACCTTCTGTCCAGATCTCCATACTCGTATGTGGACATTGATGGACGATAAGGAGGATCGTAAGATCGTTCCTCTGTGAACTCTTTTTGCTATAACGGCATAAGCTTGTTACGACCATTCTCCATGGCTTCGTCTCGTCCATGCCTTTCTTGATATAGATCGTATGCCATGGTCTCTTCTCGCTTGATCCATTCACGATGCGGATCCAAATGAATTGATCATTCTCGATCGTCCACATGATGAGCATTTGGCGGTAAGTCGCCTGACCTAACCTCTTCGCGGTGAAGATCTACATGATTGTTGCCTTCCTGCTCACCTTGGTGAGCAACATCAGGTTGCATTCCCTGACTTCCTACTGGAACTAGCCGTAGAATCGCCAGAACCTCTCGACGCTCCATTCCGGCGCGCAACTCTGCATTCTCTTTTCATAGGGATTCGTTCATGCTCATCAACTCATTGAGCTTCATTTCCTGGCCATTTTCCTGCGGATTAGAACTCTCACCTCCTATCATCATTCCTGATCGAAGCAGAATCATCAACTGTGAATTCCTGATCAGATCTGAGCTTTGCTAATGCGGGCACACTAGATCTGGCCTCAAACCAGTTAAATTTTGATCCTCCGTCGCCGGATCTGAATCATTCCTACCGTGAACTCGTCCAATCTAGCTTCACTCAACAGCTTGTGATCGTCGAGATCTGACTCCAATTTCCAAAGTTCAGCTACAATCAGGACTCCGTAAAACAAATCTTGATCTCGTCGATCTGGATCCAGTTTCCAAAGACTGAGTTGTTTCTTCATGGATCAATCTTGATCGCTTCCCACGGACGGCGCCATTGAAGATGTAAGAAATTCCTCTCTCTATTTTGACAGAGTAATTATACGCTTCAAGAATTTTTCCAACCTCTTTTCCCTCTATTTTCAGTTTATTTATAGACTTTTACAAATTTTCTAGAAGCTTCCTAACCAACTCATTGCGCTGGGCTCATTCCCTGGACTTCTCTAATCATGGGCCCGATTACTTTCAAGGGGCCTTCTGCTCCACTCTTCAATCTTGGGCCTGTCTTGTTTTTCATCGTGTGGGCCGTACCCGGTCCACGTCGTTTTTGACATCCTCACATACGCACACATTAATCCAATCATCCATTTAAAATATTATTAGAGAAATTCTAAAATCAAAATATCAATGATGATAAAAGCCTACAGAGTATAAAGATCGTATTTATTAGACCAAATATCGAAAGAACATAGACAAAGCAAATAGTACTGCTTCTCTAGCCTCGCCAAAATATTGTAAACCATGTTTGCTATAGACATATAAGCTTCAAATGCAATCTTTTAATTTTTCATTTCTGTTTTTTTAGTTTCAGACTGAATAATTGTAATTATTTATTACGTTCGAAAATTTAGAAATAAAAATTTTAAAAATGCACATCATGCACTTTAATAGATAGAGGGTGTTGTTACTGGAAGCATCATTGTAAATTTTAAATTTTAAAACAAGATCTAAGAGATTTTTTTTTTTTAATAAATTTTAAAAATGCACATCATCCACTTCATAATTTAATTTTTGAAATCCTAATATAATCATCCATTATAAAGGGTGTTTATCTTATTCATACTATATTTATTTATAAACTATGTACTTGAAAAGAAAGATCTAATTAATTATTTTGCATTTCGACAAAGATGAAGAATGACGAAACTGATTTTTAACTCTGTGTATGTAACAAGTCAAGATAAGAAGAAGACACGGCATGTGCAGTTTCCTTGCAAATTTTCTTGAGCACCAATAGCGACAGGCAAGGGCGGAGTAGGTGAATTATTTAATGTCTTCTATCTATTTGTTTATATATATATATATATATATATATATATCGATTTAATGGATAAGATTTACTGTTTTAACCTTAGACAAGATATGGCACACTTCTATTACCCCATTTGAAGATTTGATTTCTCAATAATCCAATTGATCAAGAAAGGAAGCAATGCTAATTGAGATTAAGACTAGTGGTAATTGAATATTGATGGACAATTTTGACTATTTTTTCTCTCCATTTAATATTTTTAGTGATAAGTAATGTCTCTTAATTAAAATTTTATTTTATTTTAAGTAATGTTTATTATTTAAAATGATATTAATTTGTATTATCAAACATATTTAATTGAATAAACACTTAATGATATTTAACTTGCTAGTGCCACCAAACTTTTTCTGCATTATGAAGCATACAAGTCAATCCAATTCCAGCCACAGGCCAATGAGGTCTAAATTAAGTGGTCCATTAATTATAACCTTGTTTTTGGTCCTTGAGCAAGTGTGAAAGGCTTACAATGCCCAGGGTAGTTGACCTATTCAATGTCTTTTATTTATAGGGTTTTTTAATTTTTTGTGATTTATTAAATGTGACAAGATATATTTACATATCTAACTCCCACACAAAAGTTTACAATATTTAGCTACCAATTAATATGTGGTATCTTACTCAATAAACAAATATAGAAACATTTAAATTTTTGTGTATTTAAACAAATTGAGAGTTTTTATGTCTGGTTGCTATCCGAGACATTACAGGCTTTCTTCAAATTCAACATGCACACTTCTATTACCTCTTTAAGAATTGAGTTCTCAATCATTCAACCTAAGGTGATTATTAATATAACATACAATAAATTACCGTGACATGTTAACACCAAAGAATCATTCTTAACTTTGCCTTCCACTATAATCATTTTAAAAGACAAGGATCAATGGTAGATTAATGTCACAAATATTTTTTGCCTAATCAAAAGCAAACAGTAGACAATTTATTTATTTAAATGATTTTCCTAACATGTACCTATCCAATGTGAAAAGAAAGACTTTCAATAAAGTAAGTCAATCCAATTCGGCCACATGTGAATGAGGTCCTGGGGAATTTTTTTCACTAAAGTCAAATCAATCCAATTCTAGCCAAATTTTCATTGATGGAGGATAGAGTCATATTCTATTTTATTTTTATCTTCACATGCATTCAATCTGAAACAATGTATTAATGCTTTCTTTCGGCAAATATCATCTTGGTTGTTTCGTTAAAAAAACAAAAAAAAAATCTTGGTTGATTGAGGTCTTTTGCATTTTAAAATATATGTTACTATCAAATTGCAATCAAGAAACTACAAAATTTCAAATACACAGCTTATTGATTGGTGGTGATATAGCTAGGTCCTCCACAGGTGACAGCTTAGTTTATTCACTAGGAGTCTAGGAACAATAATATTAGTACTACTTTCTTTTTTTCAAGTTCCAATTTATCATTTTTTTTTTTTTTTTGAAAGCACAAACAACTCTTTCATCTCATCACCAATAATAATGATATTTTCATCCTTCAGCAACCGCGAGAGACTTGCAAGGGCCGAGTAGATGAATCATTGAATGTCTTCTGTTTATTTATTTATATATATTGATTTATTGGATGTGATTTACAATTTTTACCTTAAATAAGAGATGACAGTCTTCTATTACTTCTGATTTCTCAAAAATCTATATGATGAAAAAAGTAAGAGATGTGAGTTCAGTCGAGGTGATTATTGAATATTGATGGACAATTTTGACTAAAAACAATCATACTAAAAGTAAACTGTAGACATTTTTTATTTTATTTTTTATTATGATTTTTTTTAACTTGTACCTATCCAATGTTATTCATGGCTAATAAATAATAAAATTAAATTTTGAGGGCCCTATATAGACCGATATAGATGATATGTGAGAAGAGGAAAACTTGATTAAAGTTGGTCAATTTAATTCTAGCCATATGTGAATGGTCCCGTGCATTTATTTTGAATGACTTTAGCCCAATTATGTAATTTGTTTATTATGTATGATCTTTTTATTATGTACAATCTTTTGTCCGTGGGCTCAAATAGGTGAAAATTTTAAAGTATTATTATCTATTTATTTACTTAATGTTTGTTATTTATTGAATGTAATTTATTGCTTTTTACACAGGCTAAGATATACTAGAGACAAATTTTATTAAGGTATACGAGAGACAAATTTTATTTTATTCATCTGATCATAACGTTGCAATAGGAGCAACTTTGACTAATATAGAGAAAGACTTGTAGGCTTTATTTGAATTGAATGATTTGGAGGGATTTGAAAAGAAAAGAAAGAAGAGATATAAAGAGTTATCCCTTCAATTTCTTCTCGTATGTTATCTTCTCGGTAATGAAAAGATTTGAAGAAGAGTGATGGCTTTAATTATACTTTCATAATTTCAAAAATGCCCTCAATAATTAAAAGAATAAACTTGTTATGACATTTGAGTCCTATCTTATAAAAGGGTACGATAGTAATTTAGTTATTGCCATTTCATTTCTTTTGTCAGAATTTCTTTGAATATGTCCTTAAATTCATTCGACATATGAGCAAAACTCAAATTGGAGAAGAATATGGTCCTCCTCTATCTTTTCCAAATACAAAAACTATTATTATTATTATTATTTCTTCATACTTTATTCGAACATAAATAAATATTAATACTATTATTTCTTCTCTTTTATAACCAGTGTTATATATAATTTTTTTTTTACATGTTTGATTTATTTGCTATTGTATAATAATATCTAACTTTAAAGGGTTTACTCCTGTCAAATGTTTAATTTAATATGATTTGAGCATAATTTAATTTTTGAATTATTTTATTTAATTCAAATTGGAAAAATTACATGATCTCTCTTATGATGTGTCATAATTACAGGGACTACGTGTGGTTTGAAAAATTACTCAAGCCTCTACTAAAAATGAAATTAACCTACACAGACCTTCCTACCTAGTGTGACCATCAAATGTACTAACATTTTGGTCTAATTTACTGAAATACCCTCAAATTGTTATGGTAAATGACTGCAGTACGCTTTTTGTATTTGTGAGAGAGAAAAGATGGACGAAAGGTAATATTGAAATTTTAATTTATTCAGTACATGACATCAACAAAATTTGTCATTGACTTGCATTGACCTTAACAGAAGGGAGGTTCATGTTTGTTAGTTTTATTTTTAGAAAAAGTCCGAGTAATTTTTCAAATCATAAGAAAAGTCTGTGTAATTTATCAATTCAAATTTAAAAAGTTTAGATGCAAATTGAATTTGATTATATAATAAGTTTAATTGAATTAGAATTATTTTCATTAATTTTGTGATGAATTAATCATGTTACCTATGGTTATTGATTAATTATATTTAGATAGTTTATTTCTGTTTTGATTATTGTGATAGTGTTAATTGTAATATATTTATTTTAGGGTTAAATGCAAAAAACCCCCATGAACTATTGGCTAATTAACAACAAACCCCCTTGAACTACAAAAATTGCAAGAAACCCCACTAAACTATACATTTTTGTTGCAAATGACTCCATCTGGCGACGCTCCGATTGAATCTCACCGGCAAAATGAACATGTGCAATCATGCGACCCAAAATATCTAACTTTATGACCATATTGTCCTTTATAAGCATGAAAAACTCCATTGCCCTTCTTGTGACCATTCCATCCCCACTTCTTGAACTTACTTTTCCACCCAAACACACCCTTAGAAATACTGTTCATCTTCTCTGCGAGCCTTGTCAAGGATGAGGGAATAACCTTGTTAACTCCTCTGACTATTGATCTCTCTCCTTCTCTATATATATATATTTGCGTTGTAATTCATCCATTACAGATTGTCCAGAGAATCGAATAATTTTCATAATCGAACAATTTTAGAAACATTGATGGGGTCACATGATTATAGAGATGAATCAACAAATTCAGAAACACGTTTGAATAAAACAGAGTATTTGAAACCCCAATTTGGTATACACTGAGTAAACATTAAAAAAAAAAAAAAAAAAAAAAAAAAAAAAAAAAAAAAAAAAAACACCCCACACCACACAACTTTTGAGCTGAACTGTGATAAAAATATAAAATAAAATAAAAAAATAACAAAATCAATGGCAAACACATTATAGTAGAGACTTAGAAACCCAATTTCTCACCGAACTCGTTTCTGCACCGTCGGTGCACCACCCACCGATTCAACTTGCTGAGCCCGTCCTCACTACCGTCCGTCCTCTCCACCGTCCAAGTTCATCCTCTCCAAAGCTTTCCACCTTGCTCGAAAGCTCGCCAACGAGTCTCCACGGCCAATCCCGTCGCCCACCGCTGGGCCATTCCCCCACCATCTACTCACAGCCATCACCACCGCCGGGCTGTTCGCTACCACCGCCGATCCGAACTAGCCTCATCGTTGTCATCCGAGTCAACCAGCTGGTATCACAAACATCACTCCAAGTTGTGCTCTTTCTGCTCACCGCCGCCTTCTCGCTGGAAAAGGAGGATCCTGGCCGCCGTTCTCATCACCGGTGGGTGTCTGTCGAGTTCCTCACAGCGGCGAACCACCATCACAACACTGAAATACACAATCAATACAGACAGTCTCACTCATATATACACAAAATGCAAGTCAGTCATTTTCCCATCCTCTCCAAACCCTAATTTATACACAAAATCATATACATATATACACATTATATATCTATATCTATATACACACAACAAAATTAGGCACCGATAACGATGGAGTGACCTGAACTCCTTATCATCATTGACCAATTAATCTCTGTATCCCTCAACTTGATTGATAATGGCGCAACCACCACCATCGTCGCGATAGCTGCATCTGGTCCACTGTTGCCCTTATAATCCTCCACTTCCCCATTTCTCTAACCCAAAGGCCGTTGTTGATCCTCGGAGCCCGTCGATGACAACCCAGTTGATGGCGATCTTACACGACCAATTCTTATGTGCCAGGCTTCCCGACGGTCCGCAGCCGTGCGCCTCCTTCTTTAGGCTCGGGTCGATGGTGGATGAAGGTCAATCTATTACGCGTATGCTCGTTTAACCTCTGTGTTCAGCCTTTCCACGGCCTTGCAACTCTGAAACTGCGTCGTTTTATTGGTAGGGCAGTTTCGTCCTCCTATTTTCTAGTGGCCTGAGTGGGCAAATTGCAAAAAATTCATAGTTTAGGGGGGTTTCTTTTAGTTCAGGGGGGTTAGTTGCAAAGCCCCTATAGTTCAGGGGGGTTTTTTGCGTTTAACACTTTATTTTATTATTTGTTACATATTCTTCATTATCCTTACAAATATATGATATATAAGAAAATAATAAGATGTGTATTGCCGAATTTTTGGTCTCGAATTGTTAGTGCATATAACGTATTATACACGTATGCATTTGTATTTGTATTTTTACGTTTCTATTTTTTTAAAATGAAATTTTTAAATATATTTTAAAAAAATTATTGAATTATACTTTTACGTTTCTGTATTCGTATTTTTTTCGTACCGTATTTTACTAGTTATGGTGACGACCATCAAATGTACTAACATTTTGGTCTAATTTATCGAAATACCCTCAAATTGTTATGGTAAGTAACTGCAGTACCCCTTCTGTATGTATGTATGAGAGAGGAGGTGGACGAAAGGTAATATTAAAATTTTAATTTATTCAGTACATGACATCAACAAAATTTGTCATTAATTCGCATTGACCTTAACAGTAGAGAGATCCGTGTTTGTTAGTTTCATTTTTAGGAAAAGTCTGAGTAATTTTTCAAATCATAATTATGACAAATCATAAGAAAAGTATGTGTAATTTATCAATTCAAATTTAAAAAGTTTAGATGCAAATTGAATTTGATTATATAATAAGTTTAATCCAACTTGTGATTAAACTTTGAAAGGGAGTCCGGTCTCAACCAATGACACAATCAAACCCATTTACACCACCAAAAACATAATATAATTAAAGGGTGACCATGGGCTACCATCCTCTTAAACTATTTAAATCACAAAGTGAGATAGGATGAGAATCCAAAGTCACCTTTGGACAAAATAACGATAATATCTGTAATATTAATACGTAATTCTACGTCTAGTGTGAAATTTCTTCACTTTCAATTGTGAATTTCATTGTTAAAATGGTGAAATTTCACTTATTTTAACTTGTTTATGAAGAAAAAAAAAAAAATAGTAAAGTGAATGTCCTTCTCCTTGATCACGGCCAGAAGCTCCCTACGGATGGCGGTGGCGGCTTTATTCGCTCTACAAAAAATAGTACCCGGGAAATTGAATGTAATTGAGTGCATCCCCAAAGTAACACCATCAAAATTGGTAACAAGCCTAGCAATCCTCTCGGGGCTGTCAATGCCCAAGAAGAGAGAACCAAATTTTCGTTGGTGGGGAATATAGCTTGGTGGTCCCTCTAGCCAATTCATCAATCGGAAAAAGTCATAAATTTCATAATAATAGAGGATGACTTGCACCAATGGGCATCTTCTTTGCAACTGCCAAGAGCAGTGATAGCATCACCTGGATGGGACTTGCTGGCTAGGTAACTCATATACCGTGATTGGATAAATACACAGCTTATTGATTGTTGGTGATATAGCTAGGTCCTCCACGGGTGACAGTTTATTTAATTCACTCCGTGGCTTACTGAATAGATATATATATATATATTTTCTTATCTTATGATGTTATGTTTTGGTGTATTTCAACATTCAACTTTCTATTTAACAAAAGAGGACGAATTTTGTTCACATTAGGCTACATTTGTATTTTCACCGTTGGCTATCAATCCATTCAACACTAGGCAACATAACATTTGTATTCGGAATTAAGCTGAAGAATAAGAATAAATATTAGATGAATAAAATTAAAATGCTTTGATAAGGTGCAAGTTCGTAATTTAAATAAGTCAAAGGGCAAGAAAATACTTTTTACCATAATTTTGAGTGTCATTGTTTAATTTATCAAACTTAGGATATCATTGTTTTAAAAGTGTCGTCGTAATTATCTATTTTTAACCCAAATCTAAGAGAGTGTGAGTATAATTTATCAAAATTACTAATTGTGATGGTGAGGTCGCTTGTCAATCCAATTCTAGCCCACATGGGAATGGATATATTTAAAAATTAAAGTGCAATATATACATATGTAAAAATAATTACGAAACAAGCTAAAAGCCTAATCCAATGTAAAGGCCCAATCGATTTACAAAAAATTATTAGATAGTTTTGATCTTTTTGACACTTGGTAGACTAATAATTTCTCTCAATTTACATACTAGGATATTATTAAGTACTATTGATGGACAATAGAAAAAAAAATCACCTTCTTTTACTAGAATACAATGAATTTAAGTTGTGAACGGCTAGACAATTTATTATTATTATTATTGAATTGATATCTTAACATGTATACGTGGATTTACTTGGAGTGAGAGGTCCACATTTTTATTTATTTTTTTGTAATGATTTTCTCAACATGTATCATCCTAGAAAACTTTTTCTGCATTCTGAAGCATACAAGTCAATTCAATTTTAGCCACATGCGATTGAGGTCTAAATTAAGTGGTCCAATGATTATAACCTTTTTGTTGGTCCTTGAGCAATGCTCAGGGTAGTTGAACTATTCAACTTCTTTAATTTATAGGTTTTCTTAATTTTTTGTGATTTATTAAATGTGACAAGATATAGTCACATATCTAACTCCAATGCACAAGTCTATAATAATCAGTGGTACCAATTAATATGTGGTACCCTACTTAACAAATAGACATAGAAACAATTAATATGTGGTACCCTACTCAATAAATAGACATAGAAACATTCAATTTTTCGTGTATCAAATTGAGAGTTTTTATATTTGTCATCTGATTGCTACCGACATATTATCTAAATTTATCATGCACACTTCTATTTCTTCTTTGAGATTTGAGTTCTCAATCATTCAAACTAATATGATTATTGAATACAATGAACAATAAGTTACTGTGTTATTCATTCTTAATTTTTCCTTAATTGTGCTTCTACTATAATCATTATAAAAGAAAAAGATCAATGGTAGATTAATGTCACAAATATTTTTTTGCCTACTCAAAAGCAGACAGTAGACAATTTTGCTTTTTTATAAATTTTTTTTAATATGATTTTCCTAATATGCCCACATCCAATGTGATTAATGACTAATGAGTCCTACAAAATAATTCACAAGTCACTGTTATAAGTGGTGGAATGGTAAGTGGGAAGAGAAAGACTTTCAATAAAGTAAGTCAATCCAATTCCAGCCACATGTGAATGAGTCCCTGGGCGTTTATTTTGCAACCACCATGAGCAATTATTTTCACTAAAGTCATATTCTATTTTATTTTTATCTTTATATTCTACTTTCTTTCAGCAAATGTCATCTTAGTTTTAATATCAGTAATTGAAAATAGCATCTTATATATATTGATTTATTGAATGTGATTTACAATTTTTACTTTAGACAAGAGATAAACACTCTTCTATTATCTCTAATTTCTCAATAATCTATATGATGAGAAAAAGGAAGAGATGTGAGTTCTGATTATTGAATATTGATGGACAATTTTGACTTAAAACAAATATACTAAAAGTAAACTATAGACATTATTTTAATTTTATATTATGATTTTCCTAACTTGTACATTTTCAATGTTATTCACGGCTAATAAGTAATAAAAATTAGTTATAAGGGGACACATATATAGATGATGGAATGACAAGTATGTGAGAAGAGGAAAATTTGACTAAAGTCGGTTAATCTAATTTTAGATCAGAAAGTGAGATGGGATGAGAATCCAAAGTCATGTTTGGACAAAATAACAATAATACCTGTAATATTAATGCGTAATTCTATGTCTAGTGTGAAATTTCTTCACTTTCAATTGTGAATTTCATTATTAAAATGGTGAAATTTTACTTATTTTTACTTGTTTATAAAATATATATATATATAGTAAAGTGAACTTCTAAAAGATATATAAAAAAAGAAAAAAAAATCACTTAAAATCTTTAAATTAATAAAGTTTATAGTGTTGAAATCCATAAAAAGGGTTAAATTCACCACTTATGATATTAAAATTCTTGTAAAAATTTTAAAATAAATAAGATAAAATTTCACCAGGCACCTAGAAAAAAGAGTTCCTTGGAGTAATTGCTTAGAAGAGAAAGAACCAAATTTTCTTTGGTGGGGAATGTAGCTAGGTGGTCCCTCTAGCCGATGACTCATGTTTTGAAAAACATAAATTGGAAAAAGTCACAATTTCATAATAATAGAGCACCAATGGGCATCTTCTTTGCAATTGCCAAGAGCACTGATAGCATCACTTGGATGGACTTGCTAGCTACGCAACATTTGTATTATAATTTTGAATTTATTCGGAATTAAGTTAAAGAATAAGAGTAAATATTAAATGCGATGTGCACGTCATGTCATCAATTGTTTATACCTTCAAGAACCGAATTATGTTCACACTGGGCAACATTTATAAAGATAAACTTATTTATTAACTTATAATCAGATTCCCATGTCCTAGTTAAAGAATAAGAGTAAATATTAAATGCGATGTGCACGTCATGTCATAAAAACGAATAAACAAGAATAAACAAGCGATAAACACTTGAAATTAAGTCCTACCATATATTCCCAATATAAAACAAGATTTAACAGATTTTTCTTAATAAATTTTAAATATCTTTATAAATCTCAAATAATTTTATTATATTTAGAATCTTTTTACCTTTTTCTTAAAATAAAACTTACTTAATTGTATAAGTACGTAATATAATTAAGAATTAAACGAATTGAATAATCAAACACCAAAGGCCATCTTCTTTGTCGAATGAGTGGTGGGCATAATCACAGGGCCCAGTTCGGCGGTATGTTGAGTGCCGAGTATTTTAAATTTTTTTTTTTTTTAAATTTTATTTCTTATTTTCATTTTGCTATCTTCTTTGACGAATGAGTGGTGGGCATAATCATAGGGCCCAGTTAGGTGGTCTGTTGAATGCTGAGTATTTTAAATTTTTTTTAAAATTTTATTTCTTATTTTTATTTATTCTTGTTCTTGTTTTTAAATATGAAAATGAATTAATAGGAATAGACAAGTGATAAGCACTTGAAAGAAATAAAACAAGATCTAAGAGATTTTTCTTAATAAATTTTAAATACTTTTATAAACCTCAAAGAATCTTATTATAATTAAAAGGCCATAAGCTTAATCCATTCCAAATTTTGAACTTATTATTTTTTTGTTTCATGAATTATTTAATAATCATAGAGCACATAGATGAGAAAACTTTTCTCCCCATTATATCTTCATGATATAATACATTCAAGGAAGGAACAGTCTTACAATTAATTATAAGCCTGATTCTTATTCTTGAAACTTCATAATTTAAAATTTTAAAATCCTAATATTATCAACCATTATAAAAAGGGTGTTTATTTTATTCATACTATTTTTATTTATAAATTATGTACTAAAAAATAAAAATCTAATTAATTATTTTGCACCTTCACAAACATAAAAGATGTGAAACTGATAATAATTTTCTTAAACTAATAACGGACTTAGACCCACCTAATTAAGTGATCTTATTATGATATTTTCATTCTCGAACAATTGCGAAGTACTTACAAGATTGAATGTCTTTTACACACACGTGTGTGTGTGTGTGTGAGAGAGTGAGAGAGAGAGAGAGAGAGAGAGAGATTCACAGTTATTACCTTAAACAAGACACTTCTATTTACTCTTTGAAGATTTACAGTTTTTCTTTTTCTTTTTTTTAAAGATTTTGCTAACTTGTGTCAATCATGGGCCCCATGGCTAATAAGTAAAAAATAAATAAATAATTAAATAAATAATTGTGAGGTCAATAGGGCACATAAGTATGAGAAGAGGAAGACTTTGACGAAAGTTAGTGGATCTAAATTCTAGCCACTTGAGGTATATAGTACGCATATGAGAGAAGGATAAGGACGTGGGAAGAGGAAGACTTTGACGTCTAGCCACGCGAGGTCTATAGGTCCCTTGCATTTATTATGCAACGACCATGAGCAGTGATCTCATTTCCACGGAAGGATCAATGCGTGATGAGTGGAACAACTTTTGCTTATACATATTTTATTTCATATGTATATATATTATTTTTTTTGATATTATTTTAAATTTTATGCTTTCAATATTTAGTATAAAAATAATTTTTCTGTGAATTAAAATTTTATTCTATTTTGAATAACGTTTACTTTTTTAAGTAATACCTAATTTACCTTATCAAATTTACTTAATTGAATAAATATGTATCTACAGTACTTTTCTAATATATAGCAAACTTTTTGTGTATAATTCAATCTAATTCCAGCCACATGTCAATAAGGTCTAAATTAAGTAGTCTATTGATTATAACCTTTTTTGTCCATGAACATTGTTAAAGACTTGCAATGCCTCGCTGGTTGAACTATTGAATGTCATTTAATTTTTTGTGATTAATTGATCGAATGTGACAAGATATATTCACATATCTAACTTCAATGTGAAAATCTACAGTATTCAGTGGATATCAATTAATATGTGGTACTCTAATTAATAGACAAGCAAAATTTTTATTTTTATTTTTTTGTACATCCAGATAAATTGAGAGTTTTCACATCTATTAACTAATTGGTTCTCCGAAATATTATAAACTTTCTCAAAACTCAACATGCAAACTTATATTACCCCTTTGAGAATTGAGTTCTCAATCATTCATACAAAGGGAGGAGTAAATAACAATCATGGACTTTCTCCAATGTATTTAGGCAAATTGATAGTTTTCATGTTTGTCAATTGGTTGATATATGAGATATCATGGACTTTCTCTAAACTCAATATGCACGCTACGAACAAAGGGAGGAATAAATAAAAATTGAGTTCAAGATTAGGTGATTATTGAATATAATGGACAATAGGTTATGCTAAAATAATGTTGCTATCTTATTTATCACTTTTCAATGTCAAATTTTTTATTTCTAATTAGAGTTTGATAAAGTATAAAATTAATAATTCTATCAATTAATAAATTTTGCATCTAACCAATGCAATTGTTTATTCCTCTTTGAAGAGTAATATAACTTGTTAATTTTGTGACCATGATACTTTTTATTGTTAAACTTTAATTTGATATAGTGTAAATTGTGGAATGTAACTTTTTTTTTTTTTTTTTTTAAAATTAAAGCAATTTTCATTAAGTAAAGAACTTTACAAAAGTTGGGCTTGGCCCATAAGAGAAAGCAGCCCAAGGCTACAATACAAGTCCAAACTAGGACATACATAAAGCAAGATAACAACCACTAACTGCCGTTAATGGAGCATCAATACATTCCGGTGAAAACAAAGGAGGGCTAAGCCTTGATGTCTCAGTTCAGCGGCCGGAGAGGAGGCCTACAGCATGAGGGAGATAAATTCCAATCCATGAGGATCAATTTCGCCGAAGCGCATTCTCTCAGACAACCTAACTTCAAAATACCTGCTATTGTGGAGCAAACTTTTGCATAGACGACTCTATGGGATGATTTGTGTCCTTTGAAAATTCGAGCATTTCTCTCTTCCCAGGTATGGTATACCAAAGCTGATATGCATAATTTCCTATGCAGGTTAATTGGGGTATTTGTTTTCCATTTAGTACTGATCCATACTACAAGATTCTCCCAACTTGTAATTGTTGTGTGAATGTTGCTCTTGTATTTGATAAAACGCCATAGATGGGAGGTGAAGTTGCAATAAAAAAATAGATGATCATGAGACTCACCTGATATGTTGCAGAGGGAACAAATGTTATGATGTTTAGCCATAGATTTACTGTCGAGTGTTGGTAGTTTGCATTGAGCAGCCAGCCAAAGATTGAATTTCATTCTTGGTATGGTTGGAGAGTGTCAAACAAGGTTGTGCCATGAGACAATAGGAAGGTCACCTACCATGTGTGCCACAGTGTGTTTGAATGAGTAGTTGCCATTAGGTGAGACTGTCCACTTCTTATTATCACTTCTAGAAGGGCATGGAGGTGGCAGTGCGAGCAATTCAAGGATTGCACTAGTAACAGAGGGAGGGAATGACCAGTTGCTGTTGACAATGAATGTATTCATAGTTACTGTACCATTGAAACCAGCTGCAGTGAGTAGATGAAGTGGAAATCTTGAACTTAAAGGACCCCCTGGAGCCCAATTGTCCCACCAAAAGGAAGTGTTAGCACCATTGCCTATAGAGTACTTTATGAGTTGTCTAGCAAGGTGCCTTAGTTGGAGAATTTTTCTCCAACTTCAAGAGCATGGCTGAGGGTAGTTCAATGACCATAGGTTTCTGGACTTCAGTAGGTGAGAGTGGCACCACCTTACCCACAATCTATTTGTGTCTTCTTTGAGAATGTCTCAAATGAATCTGATTATTCCAGCCTTGTTTGCAATCTCCAAATTGGGGATCCCCAAACCACCTGCAGATTTAGGACTGCACACCCTGCTCCAAGCTACCTTAGAACCTGAAGACTTCATTTCTGGCCCTGACCACAGAAATCTCCTAAAAATCTTGTTGAGTTCATCAATTACTCCCTTAGGCAGAATAAAAATATTGCACCAGTAGTTTTGAGTTGACACCAACACTGAATTTATCAATTGGAGTCTACCTGCATATGAGAGAGATCTTGAAGTCCAGTTAGTGATTCTGTGAGTGATTCTGCTTACCAACAAACTGCAATGCTGAGACTTCAAATTTGTAGAAATCAATGGTACTCCAAGGTATCTGACTGGTAGTGTGCCTGATTGAATACTTAGCAATGTAGAAATTTGATGCTGAGCGTGGTCATTTACACCAGAAAAATAAACCTCACTCTTTGATAGGTTGATGTCTAGGCTTGACATAGAGCAGAAAAGATCAAGAGCTGATTTGAGGACTGAGATTGATGTAATATCTCCATGGCAAAATAGTAACAGATTATCTGCATAGGACAAATGAGTGATTTTGTGTTCTCTGCACCTCTAATGGAACTTGAAAGAGGGCACCCTTCCCACTAATGATTTTGTGGAATGTAACTTGTTCATAAGTATTTTATGTATAAAATTAAAATGTTTTGAGAAGGTGTAAGTTCATAATTCAAATAAGTTAATTCATAAGATAAAGAGCAAGAAAATACTTTTAACCTCGATTTGAGATATCTTTGTCCAATTTATCAAACTTAGGGTGGTTATTGCTTCAAAAAGTGTTTAAGTCATAACTACTTATTTTTAACTCAAACCTAGAGAGTGAATGTAATTTATCCAAAATACTAATTGTCACAGTGAAGTCACTTCTATGGACACGTATAACTATATAAGTGGTGGAAAAGATAAGTCAATCCAATTCTAGCCCACATGCAAATTAAGTGAACCATTAAATATCATTTAATTATTGGTGGTTTGTGAATGGAGCTTGATTAGGTGAACTATTAAATGTCATTTAATTATTTATTTCCTACTTTTTGTGATTTGTTAGATGAGATTTTTTTTAAAAAAAAAAACTAAAGTGCAATATATACATATGTAAAAATAATTACAAAACCTATAAGACTAGTCTAATGTAAAGGCCCAATTGATTTACAGACTAAGTAGAATACAATGAAATTAATCGATCACGTGAACTATCAATCGATTATTAAGTAGAATACAATGAATTTAAGTTGTGATCTGCTAGACAATTTTTTATTCTTTTGTAATAATTTTCTTAACACGTTTACCTGAATTTACTTGAAGTGAGAGGTCCACATTTCATTTTCATATCCTAATTAGTTTGAATGTGATTCTTTGACCGTGGTTAATGCTGTCAATGCCAATATTCTTGGGCCGACTGACATTCATCCCATTTGCTTTGATATTCAGGGTACGCTTCAGCAATTTTCTTTTGCACATCTTAGCCATGTTCATAGGAATGGCAATGAGATTGCGGAAATTATCTCGTTCTCACATGTATGAATACTGCTCTTGGTTTTATTCCTGTTGATATTCTTCAATTAGCAGCCAAGGACAGTGTTTAATGTTTGTCTTTGTAAGGTTGTTTGCAAGTGTAAACAAAAAAAAAAAAAAAATTAGGGCCCCACTGCACGTGCGAATGAGCAATGACCTGTGTGGTTTGTGAATGAGAGTCCTTGCATTTATCCTGCAGTGATCTCATTACCACGGAAGGATGAATGCGTGGTTAGTGGAACGACTTTAGCCTATACATATTTTGTTTCATCTGTATATATATTATTTTAAATTTTAAGCCTTCAATATTTAGTAATAAATATTTTTTCTGTGAATTATAATTTTATTCTATTTTTTAAGTTATATCTAATTTAAAATTTCAAACTCAGTTAATTGTGAAAAGTATGCAATGCCCGTGGTAGTTGAACTATTCAACATTTTTTATTTATAGGTTTTTTTTAATTTTTTGTGATTTATTAAATGTGACGAGATATATTCACATATCTAACTTCAATGCAAAAGTCTATAATACTTAACGGTATCGATCAATATGTGGTACCCTATTCAATAAATAGATATAAAAATATTCAATTTTTCATATATTTAAACAAATTGAGAGTTTTCATATCTGTTATCTAATTACTACTCGAGATATTATCTAAATTCATCATACACACTTCTATTATCTCTTTGAGAATTGAGTTCTCAATCATTCAAACTAAAATAATTATTGAATATAACGGACAATAAGTTACCGTGACATGTTAACACCAAAAGATCATTCTTAATTTTTTTCTTAATTGTGCTTCTACTATAATCATTTTAAAAGACAAGGATCAATGGTACATTAATGTCACAAATATATTTTTTGCCTACTCAAAAGCAAACAGTAGACAATTTTGTTTGTTTTTTTTGTTTTTTTTTTTTCTATATGATTTTCCTAACATGTCCATATCCAATGTGATTAATGACTAATGAGTTCTACAAAATAATTCTCAGGTCACTGTTATAAGTGGTGGAATGGTGAGTGGGAAGAGGAAGACTTTCAATAAAGTAAGTCAATCCAATTCCAGCCACATGTGAATGAGTCTCCGGGCATTTATTTTGCAACAAATATGAGCAATTATTTTCAGTAAAGTCATATTCTATTTTATTTGTATCTTTATATTCTATGAGACAATGTATCACTACTTTCTTTCAGCAAATATCATCTTAGTTGATATCAGTAACTGAAAATATCATCTTATATATATTGATTGATTGAATGTGATTTGCAATTTTTACTTTAGACAAGAGATAAACACTCTTCTATTATCTATGATTTCTCAATAATCTATATGATGAAAAAAAAGAAGAGATGTGAGTTCTGATTATTGAATATTGATGGACAATTTTGACTTAAAACAATCATTCTAAAAGTAAACTGTAGACATTTTTTTAATTTTATATTCTGATTTTCCTAACTTGTACATTTCCAAAGTTATTCATGGCAATTAGTTATGAGGGGACACATGTATAGATGGTGGAATGATAAGTATGTGAAAATAGGAAGACTTGACTAAAGTCGATCAATCCAATTCTATATCAGAAAGTGAGATGGGATAAGAATCCAAAGTCACGTTTGGACAAAATAACAATAATATCTGTAATATTAATGCGTAATTCTATGTCTTGTGTGAAATTTCTTCACTTTTAATTGTGAATTTCATTATTAAAATGGTGAAATTTTACTTACTTTTACTTGTTTATAAATGAAAAAAAAAAAAAAACACTGTAAAGTGAACTTCTAAAAAATATATAAAAAAAGAAAAAAAATTCACTTGAAATCCTTAAAATAATGAAGTTTATGGTGTTGAAATCCATAAAAAGGGTTAAATTCCCCACTTGTGATATTAAAATTTTTATAAAATTGAAAATAAATAAGATAAAATTTCACCATAAAGAACCTAGAAAAAAGATTTCCTTAGAGAAATTGCTTAGAAGAGAAAGAACCAAGTTTTCGTTGGTGGGGAATATAGCAAGGTGGTCCCTCTAACCGACGAGTCATGTTTTGAAAAACATCAATTGGAAAAAGTCACAATTTCATAATAATAGAGGATGACTTACGCCAATGGGCGTCTTCTTTGCAACTGGCAAGAGCAGTGATAGCATCACCTGGATGGACTTGCCAGCTGGGCAACATTTGTATTATAATTTTGAATTTACTCGGAATTAAGCTGAACTAAGAATAAATATTAGGTGCGACATGCACGTCATATTATTAATTATTTATATATTTATGGACCAAATTATGTTTACATTGGGCAACATTTATAAAGATAAGTTTGTTTATTCACTTATTATTAGATCCACATATTCTAGTCCGGACAGCCATCCAAAGTGGTAAGCACTTAAAATGAAGTCCTACCATATTTTTCTAATATGAAACAAGATCTAAGAGATTTTTCTTAATAAATTTTAAATACTTTTATAAACCTCAAAGAATCTTATTATATTTAGGTTCTTTTTATCTTTTCATTAAAACAAAAAGAGAAGCTCAAATTAGATGGCCATAAGCTTAATCCATTCCAAATTTTGAGCTTACTATTTTTTTGTTTCATGAATTATTTTATAATCACAGAGCAGATAGATGAGAAAACTTTTCTCTCCTACTCTTCACTATATAATACATCAGGGAAGGGATGGTCCTACAATCAATTATAAGTCTTATTCTTAAAACTTCATAATTTAAAATTTTTAAAATCCTAGTATAATCAACCATTATAAAAGGGTATTTATTTTCTTCATACTATTTTTATTTATAAATTATGCACTAAAAAATAAAAATCTAATTAATTATTTTGCACTTTCACAAACATGAAAGATGTGAAACTGATAATGATTTCCTTGAGCTAGAAGCGGGCTAAGGCCCACCTAATTAGGTGGTGTTAAGACTTTTTCATTCTTGAGCAATCGCAACTGACTTACAGGATTGACTTAAATAATCCGTTTAATCAAGAAAGGAAGAGATGCTAATTGAGTATAAATAAGACTAGGTGATTACTGAATATTTCTTTTCTCTGTTTTTTTTTTTTTTTTTTTTTTAAAACAAAAAAAAGATTTTCCTAACTTTTGTACAGTGTCATTCATGGGCCCATGGTCATTATAGGACACACATATGAGTTATGGAATGATAAGGATGTGGGAAGACTAAATTTTACTTTATTGTTATTTTTATATACATACTTTATTTTGTATGTATATATATTATTTATTTATGTTGTTTTAAATTTTAATAAATAGTGTCTATGTGAATTAAAATTTTATTCTATTTTGAATAATGTTTACTATTCTAAATAATATCTAATTTATATGATCAAACTCACTTAATTGAATAAATACTTAATATTATTTAAAATTATATGAATTGAATTATCAAACACCAAAAGCCATCTTCTTTGACGAATGAGTGGTGGGCATAATCATAGGTCCAGTTGGCTGGTCTGTTGAATGCTGTGTATTTTAAAGTTTTTAAAATTTTATTTCTTATTTTTATTTTTTCTTGTTCTTATGTAAATATGTGAACATTCAACTTTGAATAATTGAATCACTACTTGATTGAATAAAATTGTTTGGAACGAGGAGTTCTAGCCACATGGGAATGGGTCCCTTGCATTTATTCTGCGGTGATCTCATTACCAAGCAAGGATGAATGCTTGGTTAGTGGAACGACTTTAGCCTATACATATTTTATTTCATCTGTATATATATTATTTTAAATTTTAAGCCTTCAATATTTAGTAATAAATCATTTTTCTGTGAATTATAATTTTATTCTATTTTTTAAGTAATATCTAATTTAAAATTTCAAACTCAGTTAATTGAATAAGTATGTAACTACAGTACTTTTTTCTAATACATAGCAAACTTTTTGTGTACAAGTCCTCCAATTCCAGCCTCATGCCAATAAGGTCTAAATTAAGTGGTCCATTGATTATAAGCTTTTTTTTTGTCCTTGAGCAAATATTAAAGACTTGCAATGTCTGGGTTGTTGAACTGTTGAATGTCATTTATTTATAAATTTTTTATTTTCTTTGTGATTTATTAAATCTGACAAAATATATTCACATATCTAACTCGAATGTAAAAGTTTACACAGTGGATATCAATTGATACGTGGTACTCTAGTTAATAGACAGACATAAGTAGGTTTTTTTCTCTCTCTCTCTCTCTCTCTCTCTCTCTAGACAAATTGAGTGTTTTCACATCTATTAAATAATTGGTATCCCGAAATATTATAAACTTTCTCAAAACTCAACATGCAAACTTATATTACCCATTTGAGAATAATTCATGTGAAGGGACTTTCTCTAATGTGAAAGTCTACAAAATTTAGCGTGTAACAACTAACATGTGGGAGACATAAAAAATATATATAATAATAATAATAATAATAATAATAATAATATCTCAAATTTTCGTGTATTTAAGCAAATTAAGAGTTCTCATGTCTGTCAGTTGGTTGATACCTGAGATATCTTGGACTTTCTCCAAACTCAATATGAATGAAGGGAGGAAGAAATAACAGTTGAGTTTAAGATTAGGCTATAATAATGTTATTATTTTATTTATCACTTTTTAATGTCAAAATTTTTATTTCTAATTAAAGGTTGATAAAAATATAAAATTATAAATTTTATCAATTAATAAATTTTGCACCTAACCAATGCAATTGTTTATTCCTTTTTGAAGAGTAATATAACTTATTCATTTTGCGAAAATGGTGTTTTTTGTTGATAAACTATAATTTAATTTGATAGAGTGTAAATTGTGGAATTTAACTTATTCACAATTATTTTAATGAATAAAATTAAAATACTTTGAGAAGGTATAAATAAGTCAAATAAGTCAATTTATAAGTCAATTGGCAAGAAAGTACTTTTTATTAACGCGTGATTGCTAATTTTACTTCTAGCGCAAAATTTCTTCGCTTTCTGTTGTAAATTTTATTATTAAAATGATGAAATTTCACTTATTTTTACTCGTCTATACAAAATATATATATAGTAAAGTGAACTTCTAAAAAATATATATATAAAAAAGTCACTTAAAATCTTTAAAATAATAAAAATTTATGTTGTTGAAATCCATTAAAAAAAAAAAAAAAGGGTTAAATTCACCACTTATCATATTAAAATTCTTGTAAAATTTTAAAATAAATATGATAAAATTTCACCGAAAAAAGAGTTCCTTGAGTAAGCTGAGAAAAGAAAGAACCAAATTTTCGTCGGTGGGGAATATAGCTAGGTGGTCCCTCCAGCCGATTAGTCTTGTTTTGAAAAAGCTACTTTAATCTGTATATTGGCCTACAACCTCTCATTTTTTCTAAAGTAGGCCCAATGGGCATATTCTTTGCATCAATTGGAGCGGTGATAGCATCACCTGGATGGACTTGCTAGCTAGGTAAATACACAGCTTATTGATTGGTGGTGATATAGCTAGGTCCTCCACAGGTGACAGCTTATTTTATTCACTAGGTACAATAATACTGGTACTACTTTCTTCTTTCCAAGTTCTAAATTACAGTATCATTCTAGCTTTTGTTGCATTTTGAAAGCACATACAAACTCCTTCATCTCATCAGGAATAATAATTCAGTGACTATGGCGGAAGCACTTCTTCAAGTTGTTCTTGACAATTTGAACTCTATGATCCAAAGGGAGTTTGGATTACTATGGGGCGTTGACAAGGAGATGAAAAATCTTTCTAGCAAACTCTCTACAATCAAGGCTGTACTTGAAGATGCTGAGCTCAAGCAACTGCAAGAAAAGCCAATCAAAATTTGGTTGCGAAAGCTCAAACAAGCTGTTTATGATATAGATGATGTCTTGGACGAGGGTGCAACTGAAGCTGCTCGATTGAAGGAGCCTAAAGGCCAAAAATTTGGATCTCTCAGTAAGGTACGCCACTATTTCTTATCTTGTTATTCTCCTCTAGACAATGTTTTGTTTCGTCACAAGATAGGGAATAAAATGAAGGAAATTAATGAGAAGTTGAATGCAATTGCTGATGAGCGGAGGGATTTTCATTTGCATGAGGTGGTTGTGGCGAGTCGAGTTGGAATTCCTGAATGGCGCGAAACCAGTTCTGTTTTAACTGAAGATCGTGTGTATGGAAGAGAAAATGATAAAGAAAGTGTTATCGAACAGTTGGTGATAAAAGCAAGTGACTGTCAGGATGTTTCGATACTTCCTATTCTTGGTATTGGAGGGCTCGGAAAGACGACGCTTGCCCAACAAGTGTTCAATGATGAAAGGGTAATTAAGCATTTTGAGCCGAGAATTTGGGTTTGTATTTCAGAAGATTTTGAAGTAAAGAGGGTCATTAAACTGTTAATAGAATCGGTGAGTGGGAAATCTTGTGACGATTTAAGCTTAGATATTCTCCAAAGACAACTTCAAGATAAGTTGAACGGCAAAAGATATTTGGTTGTTTTGGATGATGTGTGGAATGAGAATCGACAAAAATGGGAGATGGTAAAATGTGTACTACCATCTGGATCAAAGGGTGCTTCAGTCATTACCACAACTCGTCTCGAAAACGTGGCATTGATTATGAGAACGCTCCCTATATATCGTTTGACGTGTTTGTCAGAAGATGATTGTTGGTTAGTGTTCAAGCAACAAGCATTTAAAGACGAGGGTGAAGATCGTTCAAACCTTGTGGCAATCGGGAAGGAGATCGTGAAGAAGTGTAGGGGCGTAGCTTTAGCGGCAAAGGCTCTTGGAAGCTTACTGCAGTTCAAAAATGAAGAAAGTGAGTGGGTTAATATTAAAGAAAGCAAAATTTGGGGTTTACCACAAGATGAGTACTCCATAATGCCTGCATTAAGATTAAGTTACTATAATCTTCCATTCGAGTGTAGACAGTGTTTTGCTTATTGCGCCATGTTTGAAAAGGATTCTAGAATCGAGAAGGATCGTATAATTCATTTATGGATGGCTAGTGGTTTCATTTCATCTAATGGAACGATGGAATTGGAAGACATTGGTAATGCGATATGGAAAGAGTTATATTCTAGATCTTTCTTCCAAGAGGTAGAGAATGACGATTTTGGCAATATTCAAAGTTTTAAGATACATGATCTTGTTCATGATCTAGCTGAATCTATTATGGAAGATGAATGTCACGTGATGAAGGTTGAAAGGTCAAATGATAAACAAAACCACAGTGTTCGACATGTCACATTAGTTGATGCCTCTGAAGCATTGGAAAATGTTAAATCTTTGAGAAAATTATTTGTGAAGGCATTTTCTCACGACTTTACGAAATTTAGTACCTTACGAGTTCTGAATGTTAATGATGGAACTCTTATAAGTAAGCTGCCATCCTCAATTGGCAATTTAATTCATTTAAGGTACTTGAATCTTTCTCACAATACTATGTTGACAACTCTTCCGGAGTCATTATGCAACCTATTGAATTTGCAGACCTTATACCTTAACAGGTGTCTGAGTCTTAAAAGGTTACCCAACCACATGGGACGCATGATCAATCTCCGACATCTATTTATGGAAGACTGTTATGGTCTAACAGAAATGGCTCCAGAGATCGGGCAGTTAACCAACCTCAAGTCATTAAGTATTTTCATTGTGGGTGAGCTGCAATTGGGTGAGCTGCAAGTGTTAAACCTGGGAGGAAAATTATATATTAAGCATCTGGAAAGGGTGGAGAATTGGGTGGATGCAAGAGAAGCAGCAAACTTGGAGCAGAAAAAAAACCTCTACAGCTTGCGTTTGGGTTGGAATATTCGAAGTGAATCAGAAAATGCTGAACGGGTACTAGATGCTCTTAAACCTCACCCAAATCTTAAAGAGTTGATCATAGAAGATTATCCAGGTACCTCTTTCCCACGCTGGATGAGTGATCTAGTACTGCTTCAAAATTTAGTTAGAGTTTCACTTTATCGTTGCAAAAATTGTCAAAGTGTTCCACCATATAGTCAATTGCGTTGGTTGAAACATCTTGAGATTTCTCACATGCCATCTTTGGAAAGGTTGTCAAGAGAGGAAGAAAAAGATGTATTCCCTTGTCTTTCCCAATTGATTATTTATGATTGCCCTAAGTTGACATTTATGCCATGCCTTCCGTCACTCAAATATTTACGAGCACATGGAGGCAGTGATGTCTTATTGAGTTCGATCTCAAACCTCAGTGCTCTTGAGTCACTAAATATCCGGCATTGTCATGAGATTGAGTCATTACCGGAACAAGGATTACAAGGCCTCAACTCTCTCCGTTCTTTAGAGGTTTATTACTGTAGAAAGTTGAAGTCCTTGTCTGAGGGACTGCAACACCTCAAAGCCCTTGAGAGTTTGAGTCTTCGAGGATGCGACGAGCTCGTTTCTCTGCCGGAGGGTATTAAACACCTCCATTCCCTTAGAAATCTGGAAATTTCATCGAATCACAAGTTGGTGGTTTTGCCGGAGGCCTTACAGCATGTCCCTGCACTGCAATCTCTACACATCGATGCATGTGGAGAGCTAACATCGTTGCCTGACTGGTTGGGAAATCTTGCATCTCTTCAATCGTTGTCGATTGGTCTTTGCCCAAAGGTTGAGTCACTTCCAGACAGCATTCAAAGCCTAACCAATCTCACAACTTTGTCAATTTGGAAATGTGGTGAACAACTCAAAAGGAGATGCGAGAAGGGAAGCAGGGAGGATTGGTATAAGATACAACACATACCAAGTGTTTATATATATTATTAGTGTGAGAGATGGCACAAACTACAAACTGTTGCGGTGGGCCCGTGGCTACTTCATGTTACAAAAGGTAACTTCTTCTGAATATTAAAAATACATCTATACATATATTTGTGTTGGTCAATTTTGCTTACACTGTGTTTCAACAAGCCCCGGATTATCTCACTTTTTCACACTAATGAGCGTGTTCGGACTTCACATCAGTTGATTACATAGATTAAACAAATCCTTTGCTGGAAGTAGTAGTAATTTCTCATTGTCTAACTAAAATTTATATGAATTTTGCAAAAACAAAAGTGCAGAAATTCAAAAAAAATTCTTACAATATGTTGTCATCTCCTTTTGTCTCAATATTTTTATTATGCATATTAACTTCCGAAAAAAAGTATTTTTATTATGCATATTGGTCAACAATATCAAACAAGGAATGGTTATACATGTGGCTAATAAATTATTACAGATACAGTTTTTTTCTTTTTTTTAAGTACTAATAGTTTGAACATTTGGTTGTAGATGACAGGATATTACCAATAAGAATAAGAGTTCGTGACTTTATGATATTTCTTTAGGTACATTTTAGAGGTATGTAAATTTTATTTTTTCTTATAAAAAACTTTTCATTAGGCATTGCTCTGCTTTGAATAACTTTGAAAACCGTGCACAATTGCCATTTCTTAAGGTTTTATATATTTGTTTGGTATTATAAACTTTTCCTTCTTCTTCCATTTTTTATTTTTTTTTTATTTTATTTTTTTTGGTCCTAATGTTTCTCAAATACAACCTGAATCTATTAATAGCCAATATATGTTTGTAGGAACTTAGCAGCAAGATGAACGGTTCGGGACGATCCTCCTTCATTGTGCATTTTTTATGTATGTAATTTCCAAAGTCTTCTCTTTGTTATTTTTTCTATAATTAATGTTGGCCATTATGGTGTTTCTTTGAGAAAGAATTAGTCTATGTAAGGCTTCAATTGTACTTCCAGTTATGAGCACTTTTCTTCTAAATAGTAAAATAGTGAATTTAGATAATCAACCTGAATCTATTATGCAAATTCTCCAACTTGCTCTAATATTACGCGCAGCAAATTTCTGACAAACTAATTTTTTAATTGTTATTTAATCAACTTGATTTTAACTACTTTGTTTCAATTTTCAGATAATCCATTAAAAGTGTACTCCAGATTTATCTATCCAAGTTGGAAAAAAACACATTTTATTACTCTTTCAGGTCAATTTAAGTCCCATTTTGGTTGCACATGCCTCATTCAATGAAACATCTGTTTGTAAAATTTTGCTTGCTTGTTTTCGCTGTCTTGTTATCTCAATGCAAGTGATAGAAAATAAATTACGTGGAGCTCTAAAATTTTTGTTGTAGTGAACTTATACCTTGAAAGTATTCACTATGACATTTTGTTCCTGACAGGAGATTAGCACAGAGGTAATCCAGTAAGTGTCAACTGATTCAAGAAGACCAGGGATTCAGCACTTTGAAATGTATTGATTTGCTATTATTAACTTTATTTTTACTATTAATTAATTAATTTATTTATTTCTTATTTTTGATATGCTATTTATTTTGATATTGTGTTGTTGCCAGGAGATGAACAAATAGGTGACCAAAATACTCAGAGACTCCTTTATGACGCCTAGAAAAGATGTTTGTGGTTGCAATTTCAAGTGTCTGGCTTGGGATTTCAAGTGTTCTCAATTTATCTGATGCTGTAATTTGATTAGACAAGATGAAGCAAATTCTTTGCTTGAGATAGCATTATTCTTTCTTATGTAAAATTATTAAAGAAATTTCACAATTCGAGAGAATGTGTCTACACTTGCATTGTGTATTGTTCGATAATCTGTTGTGTTTTATTTTTTTGGTAGGTAAGCTGAGATTTTAATTAAAAGAAACTTAATAAAAAAGCAGACTAAAGTTAAAAAAACTAAGAAGCATGGAAAGAAAGAAATGAAGAAGAAAATAGGGTAATAGCTAAATAGAATTACAGCAAGCCATATGTCTACAACAATATAAGCAGCAACATTGCAAACTCAAGCAAGATGATAATATGAAAGCAAGGCCTCAAGTACAAACAATATTTCTACAACAATATACATATAATTACTATCATGAAATTAAACATAAATCCTGATTCCAAAATAAATCTTTCAATAAATTATTGATAATTATTGTAAATAAAATCTAAACAGAATAACTGAAACAAAAGTGACAGAAAAGACGAGAACAATATAAATTTATGCACTATAAACTTGAAGTACTGAATTGAATTCTCAAAATGGTACATTGAATAATTTAGTCTAGGGTGGGTTTATGTCCGTCTCTGCAGAAACTGAACTTTTATAGAATGTGGATCCAATTCATTGCCGAACCAAACCCATGGATATATATATGCAATGGTTGATGACTGAAAGCCACAATCACGCGCTTCATTTGAGCTATTAATCTCTATTGTTACACGTTCACGAACCAAATTCTGGTCACACTAGGCAACCTTTGAAACCTTTTCTTAGGGAAGTTTCATCCAGGTTCTGTCCTATAAAGACGAGCTTGTTTATCTTCTTCTCATCGGGTCCCCATGTCTTGCTTGGGCAGCCATCCAAAGTGGAATGCACCCCCAAGAATAACAGATGAACAAAAATTAGAGACAAAGAGAACATATGAGATTAACTTGTACTCAATTCACTAGAGTCGCAAACAGTAATTAAGGTGGTGAGCAATTAGGTGACCTGAAAAACATAACGCTCGTGTGAATCCTTCACAGACAAAACTCCTTTCATCCTGAACAGGTCTTCCCCCTTTTCTTCAAGCAGTCTTTCAAGCCAATCATCAAGCTGAAGCATCATGTAAAACCAGAAAATAAGTTGCAGGCAGTGGGATCTAAATATGGAAAATGCAATTCCACAAAAATGCCAAAGTAAAAATTATTAAGGAAACAAAATTTATGGGAATGGTCCAACCGTTCTCCAGTAACAAGAGAACAATTTATATGCAGACCGTAACAGGATGTGAGACAAGAGTTCAACCTTTGAGGCTTCAAACATTATAAAGTTCCGCTCCCCTTCTGAGCGCTTTTATATAATTTTACTTATCAAAAATAAAATAAAATAAAATAAATTATAAAGTTCCACAAGTTGATAAAGAATATAAAAACTAACCAGAATTGAAGTATTAGTTACCTCATCAAGGTCAAGGGTTCCCTCAGAGACGATACTAACACTGGAGACAGCAGAATCATGTTCATGGTCATGATGATGTCCTTTGTGTTCTATTTAGAAAAAAGTTAAAAGATAAGTTAACAACAAACATGAGAAATTATATCAAATGCCACTTCAGGAAAAGGTACTAAATTATCATAATATCTGGCACGATAGTCGAATATAAAGCATTTAAATGACACAAATATTATAGTCGAATATAAAGCATTTAAATGACACAAATATTACTGAGGGGAAATGAGCAATTCTGGAGGTCACTTTCATTGTAAACACTCCCTTTTTGAAATTCTGAACTAAAAAAAGAAAAGAAAGAGAGGTCCGAATGTATAATTTAGCTGTTTATGGCATGGGTCAGAATTAAATGCTCTTCAATAACCGTTGTATTAAGAATTACATATTGAAACCAAGAATGTATAAGAACTCTATCATGGATATAGCTCTGGCTTTAACTGTATTACCTTAATTTCTTTCTTCTTTCTTTCTTTTCTTTTCTTTTTTATTTTTTTATATTTTTTTATAAGTATCAACTATATAACCTTAATTTCTGCTATATAAAGAACAATAATAACGTATAAGGCAACACATTTCCCTTTCTTGCAACTTCACAATCAAGGGCCAAATGGGAAAGCTCCAAGACCCATGAATATTACATAAGCCATTACACATAACATATAATGTATTTACGAACATACAATGATGATGAGAGACTACAATGTATAAAGAACATACTTAATGTATAAAGAACATACTTATCAGACAAAAATATCAAAAGAATAGAGAAATGCAAATACTAGTGCTCCTCCAGCCTCGCTAGAATATTGCAATGGTCAAAATAGTAGTATATGTGATTAAAATTAAAATTAAAATTTGTTTAACTAAACTGAACAGAAAATAACAAGACAGCACAATATAAAATTAGAAGAGAAATTTAGCAAGTAAAAAAACTTGCGCAAATATCAAAAATGGATTTGCTTTCAGGAAGAAGATTTTCAATACCAATCTTCCTCCCATTTTTCTTTTCCATGATCCGGAATAAGGGAGGAAAACAAGGGGAGAAAAAGAAAGAGAGAAAAAATATTGAATCAGATGACAGTACCACAAGCAATTTCATGATGGGATTCACAATGAGAACTATCTGACTGAACCTCTGAATCAATTCTGCAAAACGAATGGCATGTTCAGACATCATGGAATATGATATTACGCGATACCACTTATGATATGGATATGCAGCACCATTTGTATTTCCTAACCACAAAGAGGGAAAAAAAAAACACTATGAAAAAAGCAAAAAAAAACTCTGAATCACCTATCTAGATCATAACCACCCACTCCCAAAACAAAGTCCATGTCGACAACACCATATTTAGCTAGCTGTAACTGTGCCATCCCATTGATATACTGACAAAAGTGCACCAAAAATCCAAATTCTGCAGAATCAATAGCATGCCAAGGAAAGATGAAAGAGAAATCACTGTACTTTTTAACATAAAGCTATACCAGTAGAACATATATTACAAATTAAGTAACATACTAACACAAGGCTATACCATAAACTATTACATGAATAAGTTGAATACTTGAACCTATTGAGCACTTTCAGTATTAACCCTTGTTTGTTATAGACATGTCAGCTTCAAATGCATTCTTAAATTTTCATTTCTATTTTTTTTAATTTTATACCCCATTGACTGCACAAACAGAGATCTATTGTGTAAAAAATTGTAATTATTTATTGTGTTCAGAAATTTTAAAATAAGAAATTTCACATAATGCAATTTTTAGTAGATCAGTTGACCATAACATTAATATGGAAATATATATCAAAACCAGACTAAAGTTAAATTTGGCTTATCAAAATGCAACAGCAAAACCCACGGCTGAACTAACCAAAGAAGTGCCTACACTTCAAAGCATCGATCATTGTACCGGAATCAAATAGATATAAAAATGCCAACAACAGTTTTACCACTGTCCACATTCATACAAGTTCAGTTTCTCTTGGAAAGCCTAAAACCCCTCTAACCCTCCCAATTCAATGAGTAGCTACATTTCAAAGATACAAGTAAAATCTATCTATGTACAAGGTAAAAGCCTACCTGAATTCGCTTTGTCAACACCTCCAAGTCAGCCTCAGTCACCGACTCACCAAATCTATCTGCCAACATTATACAATGAAGAGCATAAAGATAGTAGAAAAAGAATTCATTGAATTCCAAAGGAAGTCATAATAAATTAGGTAAAGTTCCTGATTATTGAGAAGAAATCGAATATACCTTGTTTAAAATAATACGGTCTGCATAGGCAACTTGTTCCACTGCCTCATTAACAACAAATCTAGGTTTCACTTCATTCAAATGTTGTGTGGCATGCTTAGAATCAACCAAAGTAACAACTCCATCAAGTTTCACATATCGTGAAACCAGCTCATCAGTACAAAATGTTTCAATCACCGGACCTGGCTTTGCAAGCCCTGTAAAATAACATTAAAAAAATCCATGAATATATCATATATATATATATACCCTCACTACCTGCAGCAGGTGAAGTAAACAGCTGACTTTCAGGTTTTTGCCGGATGCAACTAACTAATCTTAATAGGATGTATGTTGTATGAGAAGAAATAGCATCACACCCCTCTATGGCGAGCCAAGAACTGATGCTTCACAGAAAGCCAAATAAAGGAGAAAACAAATAAAAAAAGCTTTTCTTCCTTTGAGCAGGGCACTAATAGGAGTGTAAAAAAGCCTGTGAGACCCAGGCCTGTTGACTGGTCCAGGTCCCTAGAGGCCCAGCCCAGCACAGAATGGACTGATGACACAAATCTGTTTTGCGCCATCACTCAACGAGGTTTTTCCATCATACAAATCTCCAGTAGCCACAATAGAGACTTTTTTTAAATCCAGGTATTTTTGGGCCCTGTGAGTCGAACTCAAGGCGTCCGAGTTTATACTTTGCCCCAAGAAACTTATCCACTAGGCCACCAGTGCGGTTTCACCACAGTGGAGACTAGATGAGTAGTTTCCCCATTATAGGTTCAATATTTTCAATAGAGAAAATACTTGGGGCATTACTTTCTCATGCCTAGTAGGTTTCTTTTTTCGGGAAAGTCTCATCCCTAGTAGGTAGAAATCCTTATTTCATCAACGTGCTAATAGGTAATTGGTAAATCGTGTGAAGTTGACCTTCACTCTTATATCACCATGAACTTGCAACCCCTTTAATTGTGTGGTGCCTTCACAAAGCAAACCTTCTTATTCAAAGGAGTAAAATAACAATCAAAAGGATTTTTCGTGGATGCAAGCCAATCAGGGAAAGTCATTTGAGGTCTATAAAAGCCATCAACTCATGGCATACTTCGTCATGTCACCAAATGTTATGAATTTCTAGGTCATTCCTTCTAGGTCATTCTTCATCCACACAACAAATATTTGTCCAGAGCTAGGAAGCACGAATACTTCTACAAGAGTGACGTAACAGTATTGTGTCCATATCGGGTACCGATACTCATACTTAGAGATACATGTCCAATACTTCCTAAACGTATCCATAATATAAAAAAATATTTTTTTATTTCTAACATATATATGATACTTCTCAGATACTTTGATCACGTAACCGATG